GGATGTTGTTATTAGGGAATGGTATCTATTTAATGTACAGAATAATAATATCTATTTTTATTTGTATGGTCCTTTTTAAAATTGTGTTTATTAATTACCGATTCTGCTTCAAAATCTAGCTGATTGTTAGCATGGTGTTGTATCTTAAGGTAAAAAATGCTGTTTTCCAGTTCAAAAAATTATTTAACATTCAGGGGGAAAAGACAGACTAGCCAGACAATGAGTTGGAAGCTTGTCTCCTATTTTGTTTATATAAAATATCTTCTTTGGAAGTTTGGTAATGAGAGACACTCTTTCACCCCTAGGTCACTAGTTTAAGCGTGGCTCAGGATGGTAGACACTGGAAAACGTTTACTCTTGTAAAGCTGTTCAGTTGTTTATGAAAAATGCTGGTAGAGAGAAAGGAAGCTGATTGAAGGGGAGAGGAAAGAAGGGCTTGGCAGTGCCAGTATCAAAGAAGGAAGAATGTATGCCAAACTAGTGTATACCCCTCTCAGATAGCAGTCATCTCTTGCTACTGTTCTACTGCAGTGCTGAAGGTTCAGAGTGCCAACTCTGATAATGATGCATAATGGGGTTAGGGAAGGGTTGTTAAATAAAAATGGAATTTGTTTTTTGCATTTTTCCTTTAAAGAGAAGCTACTTATTTTCCTTTTCCTTGAAAGTTAAGAAAGTTGTGTGTCTGCATTAGGATATGGTTTTTAATTATACAAGCACATACAATTTTTGCACAGAATTGCTACCCCATTTAGTGCATAAGTGAGACACAGAATGAGACATAATTAAGATTGCATGGGCAAGCATAAATCTGGCATTTCCTAACTCTTGAACATTTGACCTTGCAACCTAAATAACTTAATATATTTTGCATGCAATCTAAAAGTTCATTACTGTTCCTTCCAATGTTTTCTCTTGCCGAGATCTAACCTCTAAGGGACTGATGGGAATGCCAACTCTAGACTATACTAACGTACACTACTGGAGTAGTTTAAGATTAATACCAGTGGTAACACTTTAAAAAAACTTTAATTGCTTACTGAGCCCTTTTTTGTCTCTGTTCCTTCTGTTACAGCTGATAGAGACCAGCCAGTCTTGTCTGTTTCTGCTCATAGTTGAGTTGTTTGCTGCATAGTTAAACTGTTTTCTGCAATGTTATTTACATTTACTAAGTGTAGTTTTATTTTAGATTACAGTAACTCCTCACTTAAAGTCATCCCAGTTAACGTTGTTTCGTTGTTACATTGCTGATCAATTAGGGAACATGCTCGTTTAAAGTTGTGCAATGCTCCCTTGCAGGAAGAGCAGTCCATTGCAGTTAGCTGGTGGGGGCTTGTAACCAGGGTGGACTGGCAGCCCCCCTATCAGCTCCCCGCTCCCCTAAATTCCCTGTGCAGCAGTCGCCCAGCAGGCTATCAATTGCTGGGCAGTTCAGCTGTCCCTCCCCTCACTGTCATGTGCTGCTCCTGCCCTCTGCCTTGGAGCTGCTCCCGGGAGCCTCCTGCTTGCTGTGCATGGGGGGGGGAGGGGGAAAGAGGGAGGCTAATGTCAGGGTTCCCCTCCCCTCTGCTCCTGCACCCCGCTTACCCCTTCTCC